TCATGAAAACTAGTCAGAGAGACGTATGTACCGCGACTTATGTTGAAGTTGCATACAACCAGGTCAGCGACTGCATTTCCATTGATAGTGGGCATATTTACATTCCAAATTTTTAGCCCAAATTCTTTCACCGTTTCCTTGAAACTGGGATCTGCTGTTCCTGTAATGTCGTGATTAAAATTACCTAGTATTAGTTCCCGTCCCTGTTCCACAGAACACCTCACTAGAAACGACCGAATGGTGCGGATTGTTACTCCGGGACTTGCGTATGCTTCTGCAGTGAGAACAATGCTTAGTTTTAAAACAGTTGCGTCTACCCAGTCCTCATTTTCTCCAACTCTTACGGAGGCTGAGTGACGGACATCACTCAACAGTCGCTGCAATACCAATCAACATGCTCCGCAGGCTCTTCTTGTCGATCCCGTGCAGTCAACACGTGCAAACGTCTTGTAACAGCTGACGTTGATTTCATCTGCGGGTATTGCCCAAGTCTCTCCGAGGAGTACGATCTCGCTTGCTGTTGTAGACGGCGTCATTCTCTATTTTGCCGCGGTGCTTTGCAGTGATCTGTAAATTGTGATATACAATCTGGGCAGCGGAGCGTTCTGTTCGGAGAAATTTGAAGTGGGGCTGAAGTAAACAGTACTCCTGTCGCCTCAGTTTAACTCGCAGTGGGTCATTTGGATGCGGCTGGCGAGGTGTGCTGAATGTGCCAATTATGTACAGTCCGGAAAGTGACGTAACTCTGGACAGCGTTACGTACAGCAAAGCCAGGGCTCTTAGTTTAGAACAATTTAAAAAAAAAAAAATTGAGCTGCGCGTAAGAGGTTTATGAGTTTAATGCAAACATGCAGTTCTACGTGCGATAAATTCTCGGCATTCAAAATGCCGGGGAAATGCCGGCATGACTGCGTACTATAGAGTAGTGTTCGGTCGATCACTGCGTTTCCTCTATGTGACATTTACGTTTGCTTTGCACGGTTGTATTCGTTCGTCTTGTCCTCTGTGCGGTTGTATTCGTTTGTTCGGTTTGAACAGAGTCTTCGTCGTGAAGAGTGCGGCAGGACGTGGTGCGGTAAAGCGTTGTGCAAGCCGCGAGTCAGACGTGCATAGAGAATGCCCCTGCAAAGTTTC